GTAACTATAATGACATGCACATCAGAACGTGGTATTAAAATTAAAGGTCAAGGTATGCAGCAATTGTTATTTACTGTTCTCTCCTTTTAAACTATGCTTTTCAGTCTTAGAGGAAAAAATTCTTATCTTGTGCCATTCTCCATGAAGCCAATTACACACTTGAGCTAAACATAATGCATATTAACTTAGCCTACCATACACCCAGAGAGCCTTGAGGTGTCCAGTTTTTCTATCAGAAATTTTGTCTGGGTAGAAAGAAAGAAAACCAACTGATTGCAATTAGTACGTATCTGGACAAAATGGGCACGTGTTGTCCTTGTTACCTCATTTTAATGCATCTCCTAGGCATTTATGATCAGTAGCACATGTTTCTATATGGGAAATTCCAAAGATAAGTTTTTGCAATTAGGAATGTCCCTTGCAATATGGACATAATGAGCTATTGATTAATCCAGGTAAAATACTTGGGCACAATGTAAGTATGTTATCTCAAAAACCTGTTTTCCCACACTGTATCACAATAATGCTGTTACCCAAATGCAAAAGAGGCAAAATAATTTAAAAGGAGCAGGCTTGCTATATTTCATGAAATAAGTGATGGAGAAGAGATAAAGCTATTATAATGACTCTTCAAAATAAAATATATGGTCCAGGAAACAGCAATAACAAAAGAAACAGCAATAAAAAATCTCAGTGCTACAGAGACTTCACCATGGTCACACAAAAACCCAGCAGGCTCACACATAAGTATATAATGATCTAAAATAATTTATATGTGCACTTAGCTATTTGAATTCATGGAACAGCATTTGCAGAACATTTGCAGATGAATACTTGCTAAGTCTTTTGTAGTACAAAGACCCAGCCCTGTTAGGGTACATTTATGTATATATTTTTGCAGCTATACAAAATTTCACAGACTTCAGTTTAGCCCTGAATGGTTGTAGAAAGTTCTACTGCTGTGAACATCTAAGTCTTACTGGAGGATCTGTTCCCTAACGTATGCTTAATAAAAGCACATATATAAAATGCATATATATACACATATACATACACATGCTTACACCAATGCATTATCTAATCTCCAATTTTTATCAGAGCCTTTTCCAGCAAGAAAACCTGATTCATTATATAAAGAAAACAACCCTACATTTCTTAAAAATCGCTAATTAGCTTTTTGTGTACATCAGAAAGGCCTTATTTTAGGCCCTGTTTCAACATCCAAGACTCTCTTGCAGACTGAGGCTACTATCTAGCAAACCTCCCCTACAGCACATGCATATAATTGATTCAGATAGGTACGGACAAGGATGAATAGTCTAAAATTTGAACTTCCATAAAGAAGTAACCATTTTCAAAAAACATTTGCCCATTAGCTGTCACATTTACAAAGAAAACATGATGGAAAACCTACCATTTTTATCTCAACTGCTTCTTCTGTTCATATTTCTACAGCACTTACAAAATTATCTATCATAACATGTCAGCCAAGAGCTCTTCCCGGTTCCATCCCTTTGCCTCTGAATTTCAGAGAGTCCTGACCAACCCAAGGAAGCAACATATTCTGCAGGCTAAACGGGCCATTGTAGAAGCAGAGGGAAGCATAATGTATTGCTTCCTCCAATGCTAGCCCAATAATTGAAATATATTTCCCTTAATTTAGAAACCAGCTATAGTCTTCACTAACTTCTCACATAACTTTTCTCAATCCTTTGCCACGTAAAGATAACATAAGAATACTACATTATAAGTGGCATATCAATTTCGTATCTGATGAATGCTGCAGTTTGTGTTTCTCATGAAAACATGATTAGAGGTCGCACTAAGCACATTTGCTTACCCATCACTACCAATGATGCCATTACTCAGGTCCAGTCATGTCTGATAACTGTGTGACTGTGAATGGCTGTAAGAGCAGAGAGAATTTCTAGGTGACTTCAAAAATTATCCCACGTACTTGGTGTATCCTGGGTAAAAAGGATATGTGAGATGTGGCTCCTAGTAAACTGCAGTACTGTTTACCTTACTTGATCTTTCTTTTCTTTTCTTTTTTTTTTTGGCAGAGAATCAGAATCCAGGCTAGTTCCTTGCAATATCCTTGCCCAGCTGCATCCAGGGAGTACTACCATAACTAGGACTTTGATCTTCTGCATTGTTCAAAGTTAATCGGCTCAGTAATGGCCAGAGAATCACCAGGAGAAGGCAAGATGACCTCCTTGGGGTCTCTGACTCTTCAGCATGTAAGATACCACTTAAGGTAAAACAGTAGTAATCATTTACATGACCGTATAAATACGTACACATATTAAATTCTGATATGCCCTACAGTCACATTTTTTGATGGATTTTGGCTCTTATAAAAATATTTTACAGCTCCTTTTAATTTAAAATAAGAGTAGAATTACTCTGTAAAATACTACATTGACCATAAAAAACACTCTTTTACTCTACACTCAGCTGACAAATTTTTGTTTATCCCAGGACTGTCTTCTTCCTGAAGTCTTTCCTCCATATTTAATAATCTTTACTGCATACCTAATAAATCACATACTTAAATGAACTATACACATCAACATGAGTCTCACTAGAGACAAATCTGCATATTCTTGGCAGGATAGAGTGGGTAGGATGACTGAATGTGAAAGAATATATAAATGTAGGGGATGATTCTGGCCTCTTAGAATTTGTAGAATAACAAAGAATGAGATGGCTTTGATTGTCATCTCAATTCATTACAGACAGATTTTTAACACTTTTTGGTACATTGTTTTTTGCATCTGAGTTGGAACTGATTAAAATTGGAAATTTAACATTAGGCTATGCTCTTGCCTTAGCTATAAATGAGTTCCATATTGAGACTCCTCCCTTTCCTCATCAAGCTTATTTGTGTATTTGCAAGAGTAATGGCAGAGGCAACAACATACCTCAGGCAAAAGAGCGTGTGTGTCTGCCAGTATTTGGGTGATGGGTTTATAAAAGGTTCATTGGAACAATGTGCCCTGAAGCAAATGAAGATACCATTCATATTAGCCCATTTAGGAATCACTGTGCAACAGTCAAACTACTGAGTAAATCCAGCACTGGAGTGTAGACACACTCTGGGACTACGGCTAGTCAGAACATTTTCAATAAAATCAAAATTTGTGGGGAAAAAAAAGTATTCCAGGCAGATAAAGATTTATGGAGAAGGTGTTGGAATACATGGTTTGCTAAACTGGAGTGGCCATGAGAAAGACTAACAATCTCCCATTTAGACTCCCTTTCTTATACCCACCAAAACTCACACACTTGAGTTAAAAAAACATTTCAAGTTTTTATTTTTACTCCACATGCAGTGAAGACAGGAGTTAAAACTTTAGCATAAATAAATGTTCTCTAGATATCAGTCATGTACAAACCCTTCCTAAGTATGCCTAGAAAAACTGATATTCCATACCACTCCTATTTGAAAGCCCCGCAAAAATGTGGCCATTCAAGCTATATCTACATTGCCAGGCTACTGAAAGCTAGTGACCAGCATTAATAGTATTTGGATCCAGGACTAACATCCTATTACTTGTACTGTAAAAGTGGTAATCCAGTTGGTTAACAGATAAAAAAATAGGAACTTGCCAATGGTAAGATCAATAGATAAATTCTATGACACAGGCCATTTCTTCACCCTCCCTACATTAGGCCCTCATGACAAATACCTTCCTAGAAAGCTAGCCACCTAATCTATAGGATCTGTCCTTATCTACAAAATAACCACCCTTGTTTCTCCTTACCAACATAATAGAAACTACAGATAAAACCCCTCAGGGGATTACAGCTTCTTAAAGCAAACTTGTCAGTTTTAATTCGGGTTAGGTGCCTGCGTAACACAATAACGAAGGAACCAAATCAGTTCCTTTCGGATGCTGATAATTCACATGTAGTAATTTTCTTGGGCATGCATGCTTAACATTCATATGGATTCATTCTTGTCCTGGTTTTGGCTGGGAGAGAGTACATTTTCTTCCTAGTAACTTGTACAGTGCTATATTTTGGATTTATTATTAGAATAACATTGATAACACACTCATGTTTTGGTTGTTGCTAAGCAGTGCTTACCCTAAGCCAAGGACTTTTCAGGTTCCCATGCTCTGCCAGTGAGCAGGCACACAAGAAGCTGTGAGGGAGAACAGCCAGCACAGCTGATCCAAACTGGACAAAGGGATATTCCATACCACAGAGCATCATGCCCAGTGTACAAACTGGGGCAAGTTGGCCAGTCACTGCTCAGAGACAGGCTGGGCATGGGTCAGTGGGTGGTAAACAATTGCATTGTGTATCACTTATGTTTCTTGGATTTTATTCCTCTTTCTCTTTTTGTTACCTCCTTTTTCATTACAATTATCAGTAGTAGTAGTAGCTTACTTTACTTTACTTCAGTTATTAAACTGTTTTTATCTCAACGCATAGGTTTTACCTTTTTTTGATTCTCCTCCCCATCCAACCAGAGCAGGGAGGGGAGTGAGCAAGAAGCTGCAAGGTACTTAGTTGCTGGCTGGGGTTAAATCACAACAATTCTACACATACATAATAAATGTAATGAGATGGTCATCTAAAAATATACATGTATATATGTATCTCAGTATTTATACATATATATGTATCACATTATATACATATTTCAATATATATATTTCAAATGGGTAATGTAGACAGTTCTCAATAAATGGACTGATAAAACTCATGTCTGATGGAGAACTGCACCATTTTTTGTCAGTGTCAGCACAATATATATGCCTATACATATGTATTCACCCATATACATCCAGATACACTTAATGTACATATGCATCATATATGTGTAACAGAGCATACAAACTCATGTATAGCATTTGAGTAATGATCTGACAAACATTAGACACATTGCATTAAGTGCTTAGCTGGGAATAACCTTTGGTTTGGCCTCAGAAATCTTTTCTTTTTCTAAACTACACACTTCATATCTGGAGCATGTGGAAGCATCTTACCTTGCTTCCATTTTCTCTTGCCTCCCGTTCCATCTTGAGGTCAGAAATTAGGAGAGTCTTGTATTTGTTCTTTCCATTACTGCTGTGATCATCTAGTCTGTATTCTGAAGTCAGCTGAGCAGAGAGGGGACTGTCACTCAGGTTCAGAGGCTGCTCATCCTGCTCCAGATTTGTTTTGCCATTACTGTTGGTTTCTGCCATCTCCCTGCAGTGTGTTCCCCCTGAAGCATTGGAACTGTGTCCCACGGTCTCATTGCCATTAAAACTCTCTGCGGCTGAATCATCTATCAAAAAATATATATTTTCAGTCACATGCCACATAATCATCTCTGTCCAGTTCAAACATAATTTATACCTTCACAATGTTTTTAAAAATAGAATGAAAATGCTTTATATTACCAGCACCAGTACATCTCTGCAAAATGTGCTTACACACTCCTCCACATTTTCAAGTAAAAGCTTTATGTAAATGCATAAAATATTACTAAGTTAAGAGAAATTATCTGGGCTGACACCTTACAGTCATTGTGTACACAAAAGACAAGTATCACAAAGGATTTTTAGTGACAAAGTGACAAAGTCTGCCTTAATCAATCTGTCTGCCCATATGTCTATAGATTTATTCAGATTCTTACACCATGCTCATTACTACAGTATTGCATATTTCTGAAATCAACAGAGGTGCACATGGTACTGAGAGAGAATCTAGTTCTTGGGTTTTATTTATGCAGAACACCACATGTCATATCCATAAACATCCTCTTACACAGATACAGTGTAAATACATCTGATGTATTCACTGCTGGCAGTAGAGATTATACTGGAATATTTGACTCCAGAAACAAAGATCCTCTCTTGATTTTGCTCAGGTGCCCACTTGCTTTGTTCATTCATTGTGTGTCATAATATATTTAAAAATACTGATCAATAAAGAATTAAATTATAAATCTGAAACTTACATCCCAAAGCTCTGGATGTGCTGTTCTTGTTACCCCTAAGATTTCACAACTGAAATGCGGGATTAGTATGTGTCTTCACATATTTATGGGTTTGTGTCTTCTGTGCTTGTCAACACTGGAATTTGCCACCTGTGCTACTACTCAGCCTTCTTTACTTCTATACAATCTTTCGGCCAACAGGCTGTCTAGTAAAACAATTCATCCTTCAATGGATTAAATGGCAGCAGAATTTGGCACTCAAGATGCTTACTTCATGTTCTCTAAGGCACCTCTATTTTAGTAACTTACATGGTTTTGCTAATAGTGCAAACACCTGCCCAAGGCTCTAAAAGCCAATGCTTATTGCAGACACTGAAGCTGGAAAAAAAACGGGGAGTTAGCAGCCAGGAATGCGTTCAGATTGAAACTGCAGATACAGGATGAAATGGGCCTTCATATGGTTGTAGTTTAATATACCATCTGGTTTTGGGCCCTTCTAAACAACTTCCATGGAAAAAAAGCAACCATATTTATATACATGTGGACTAAAAAAACATCAGGACATATTCTTTGAAGGATGTGCTCAGAAATACTCAGGCTTAAACTATATAATTAATCAAATTGTTGACTCACCATCATTACAGTAAAAAAACAGCTACTCACCACTCACAGATCAGATTTTAAAAGAGAAGAAATTACCCTATAAATGGGTAGTGATCTAACTCAATTAAATACTTAGGAAGCCATAGATAAGCCATCATACATCAACGCCTTACTTGCTGTACTCGTGGGACACTTTTATGTCACAAAGTATAAAGGACTGAGCATATATCATGAACATATTTTTTTTAATTGTTTTGTTTTGTAAAAAATCAGGTTTCATAAAAATACATAATAAGAATAATAAATTATTTTATTTAAGGAACTTTTTTGGTTGTTTTATAAAATGTTTTCTAAAAAATGGCTGCAATACAAAAATAAAGCTTTGCTTTAGTATGTACCACTTTTACATCACCTCTTAAAAATACAAATGTATATACAATAAAAGACATAACATTCCTAAAATAAGACTTTTAAATGTGTACACCAACCCAACTTGCAACAGAGCAATGGAAACATTCTGATTTAAAAACCTGGGGCTGCTTGAGAATTTCAGCTATGTGAGTAAATTGAGCAGGATTTATCCTTGATAAACCTTCTATCATGTAAAACTTACATCTTACAGTGCACAACACATAAGAAAGGTTGAAATTCTAAACACAAGTTCAAAAATAAATACACTGTTTTAATATTCAGAAATAGGAAATAGCATTCTAACATAGGATCTTTGTCTCTTTTTTAAAAAATTAGCCCTATTTACAACTCATTTTAAAAGCTCTGTGATATCAGAAAGGATTCCAGATTGTTTTATTTATGAGAGAAACACTTTGGTTATGGCTGATTTGTATTTAGGACTGTTAACAAATAATTGGCTTCTTGATTATCAGTTTAACAAGTGACAGTAGCTTCAAATTAATTAAATCAATTACTGAATCGGACACTGAGTGAGGGATGCTCTTCCCTTTGAAGGGCTCTGAAAATTCCATACTGTTGGAGCAAAGAGAGAAACAAGTAAATAACCAGAGGATGCAAAGAGCCACCTAAAAAGTGGGGGCACTGCCTACTCTGCAGCACACAAGTCTGATCCCTAGGGAATGTCTGTGCCCTGGCTCATGCAGCGCAGAGGAACCGCCATCAGGACATAGATAGCTAAATGGGAATGATGAGAGCTGGGCTTAGTGCTAGATCCAGGAACAGCCAACACTCAAGAACAGCTGTTAGATTTGCCTTGTAGTCATAAGCAATAATGCTTTTATTTTATTTTTTGTGTGCGTGTGTGTTCCCACTGTATGGCTGGCAACTAAAACTTGGACATGTATGAGAATATTACAATGCAGAAAAAAAATAATAGATTTTTTCTATAACACAACCATGGAAAAGATTCCTATGCTGAGTAAATGTGATCAAGCATTAAAATAGTCTGAAAAAATAATACAATATTTGCATGACTTCGGCTTTTATTAGCAAAAGCATAGTTACTTGACGGTAAATCTCTGTTTCCACTATAAACTCAAATACCTGCTTTTACAGTCATTTAATCTTGCTTGTAAGAAATGGGAACTGTTTGTCAGGAGAATGTTCAGGAGAAAGACTACAATGGGTATGGTATAAATCACACTTTTGCTAAGGAAACAGAAATACATATTTCCATAAAAGAGATGAAGAAAAAAAATTTTTTAAAAAGTGGTTTAGCACTAGTAGTTTCTCACAGATGTTACCAAGGTAACTAGATTACAAGGTTTAGTACATTCCTCATTCCTGGGCAGCTGCTTATTTTTGACAAGAATAAGACTACTACTTTAAAGCAAGAGTTTCTCAGGTAATAGTAGCACAGACCACATCAGGAATGATTGGTTTTGGGGATAAAGGCAGGAGGGGCTGGGCCAGGGGAGGAAAGGCATGGTGGCTTGGGAGACCTGTGCACAGGCTTGGGGGAGCTGGGGATTTGCCCAGCTATGCTGCCAGCGAGTGTCTTTCCAAGGCAGTTTGCAAATAGCTCCTGTTTCAGGAGAAGGACACCTCTAACGGCTGGCACTGAGTGGGAAAGGCCAGGAGCCCATCACTTGGGAAGCAGAGAGGCTGCAGGAGCACACTCAGAGAACATGGTGCTGTCTCCCGGACCCACTGACAACATGGTGTGGGTTGGGGGCTGCCTGGGCTCAGCCCAGCCCTGCTCCTTGTCCTCGGGGACTCCATGGAGATGAGGCCCACTCTGGCTCGGTGCATGTGGGGCAGCAGCTGTGGACCCACTGCCCTCCCACAGGAGGCTGAGCAAACCACAGCAGTCCTCCTGGGCTCACTGCAGCCCCACTGCGTGTCCGCAGGCACTCCAGGCTCCCTTCCCACCGCTGGCTGCTGAGTGGAATATGGAACTCCACTGATGCAAGGGCAGTGCATTTTCACAACCTGTCTCTTGTCTGAACCACCACTTCAGGGTGTACTTTCTGGAACACCTCCAGGGAAGACTGTCACAGGCACTGAGAGCTGAGAATGGAGGGAGCAGAGGGGCTTCCTGCCTTGCATTGGGTATTGGGGCAGTCATGAAAGAGGCTGTGGGATGAGCTCACATCTTCATCACCACCAAGGGCTGCTGCTACCCACAAGCATCAGCCATAACAGTGAATGATGCCCTCATCAAATGCTGCTGCTTGCTCAGGACAGGACACATCTTTAGGAACTGTGCAGCTTTCAAACCCTTACCCACCCGAGAATGCTGGAAGACTGAAAGCACATCTACAACTGGCTTTGTTACTTGAGCCTGAAAAGGGAGAGTCTGACTGCAAAACATGTATATGTTTGACTTCTCAGAAACAGCTAGCTGGGGCCTCACCTAAGCAGAGAACCTCTTCCAGGGATTAAAGAGCATCACCCCTCAGGAAAAGACTCCAAGAGTTGGATCAGGCAGCAGCCACCTTCTTGCTGAAGCATAGAGCTTAAGCACAGAGTTTTCACACATGAACCAGTATTTCTTAAACCTCTTGATGACAACATCTCCTTCTCCCACCTTGCACACTGCTCCACATTGATCCTCTGCTCTGACCAACACTCTTTGGACACAGTGAGTACTTCAGTCCAAGTATTCTCCATGTAACTGCTAGAACAATGTGCAGTGGCTTTAAACTGAAAGAGGGTAGGCATAAATTAGGTATGAGGAAGAAATTCTTTACTGAGAGTGATAAGGTACTGAAACAGGTTGCCCTGAGAAGTTACGGATGCCCCATCCCTGGAAGCACTCAATGCCACGTTGGATGGTGCCCTGGGCAACCTGTTCTAGTGGAAGGTGTCCCTGCTCATGGCATGAGAGTTGGAACTCGATGTTCTTTAAGGTCCTTTCCAACCCGAACCATTTTACAATTCTATGATTTTAGTTCTCAGAACAAGAACTGCAGTAATTTTTCTACTTCCAAGTTAGTTTCTTACTCATCACATTGCATTACAGCTTCCAGCTCCTCCTTCTTGATCCCATTGCGACCAGCAAGATACAAAATGACACCAGCTTTGCTTTTGGAACTCGATGTTCTTTAAGGTCCTTTCCAACCCGAACCATTTTACAATTCTATGATTTTAGTTCTCAGAACAAGAACTGCAGTAATTTTTCTACTTCCAAGTTAGTTTCTTACTCATCACATTGCATTACAGCTTCCAGCTCCTCCTTCTTGATCCCATTGCGACCAGCAAGATACAAAATGACACCAGCTTTGCTTTC